AAAGTGCTGTGTGACTGGGTGAATGAGGCATGTTGTATAGAGTACTTCGAGTGCTCAGGCAGAGTAGAAAAGTGCTACATAAACACAAGGTTATTTGCCTTGTAAATTTACCTTCATGCTTTGAAAATTGTCTGCAGTACAGGCCCTCAAAGTCTAATACTTGGTTGAAATTAGGGGTTTTTTTCCCCCAACGTTTATGATATTTCGTAAGAATATCCGATAGCCAACTAAGATTTTCAGGACTGAAAAACATATTTAAGCTAAGTTAACAGACTACCATCAAATTAATTTTACATCAACTGCAAAAACTTCTCTATTGATCATCAGTATCACTGAATATGATGATCCATACATCCACCTCACTGGATGTATGGATGTGTCTGCTCCGAGACACCCAGACTTCTCTGCCCTGAGACCTCCATTTACTAGTAATCTGCTATAATCTCGTGATATTTAGTTGACTCCAACAAATGCGTCTCATCAAATTTAGATGCCTCACAGCACTGTAGGCATTTTTAATCAATATTTTATAGAGTTGTTTTATTTCTCAGAGGGTGAAGTTTTGTTTTGTTTTTTTAAATGTGTTTGGGAGCAACTGAGGACCACAATGAACATGTTACAAAAAAACTGCAAAACATCACCTACTAGGTGATCAAGTTTCATTAGTTGAGCTTATGCCTAGTGTGGCATAAGCTCAACAGTCCTTTGGCTGGACGAGTTTAAAAGTTAAAAAAATTTTTTAAAAAAATCAGCTGATTCAGAGTGGGTCGGGTAGCAACTTCCCTCAGGTTTGACTGAGTCTATATTTAAAAACTGAAATATTTACCTGTTTAAAATCCCACAGCATGTTAAAGTCTTTCTGTTTGGCTATTTTGCAGTTATACAGCCCCGGGTAGAGTCCACTGAAAGGGTCCACTAGACAGCGGTTGCTGTTGTACTTATGAGATTTGATCCCGCCAATGTAGAGTTGTCCATCAGAGCGATAAAAACAGTGCTAAATCAAAGAACAACAATTACCTACAAAAACAAAATCACCACCTGTTTGCAAGCATTGAATATCTAAACATACTTGAGTCGAATAGAAGTGGCATCCATACAAGATGGGTGTGTTTCCTGGCATCGGGCCTTGGTCAACACAGAGTTCTGGCTTCAGATCATTTATCATCTGCCAACAAAAGCATAAATAAACTGGAGCAGCTTTTATTAGAAAGAGCACACAATGTGTATCCAGCAGACAAATCCACTATTATGGTGCAGAAACACATTTTAGTTAACTGATATAAAAATAAAAAAGATGCAAACTGAAACGTCATTATGAGTTTGCAAAACTAACAAAAAGTATTTGTGAGTGAGGCCAAATTCACCAACCAAACAAGGATTAAGAGGCAAATTATAACATGAAGTATTGTGTTTGTATTGTAATATCTTTTCTAAACTACAATAAAAATACTCCGAACACTGTATTTCTTTTAAGTAAATGAGTAAATTGACTCCGGAACAAAAACAAAACTCTAACTTTAAATTAATTCTCAATTAGAAAAGGTGGGAAAGGGGAGTTTGCTAATACTGCAATGCCACTGTACCAAGATTCAGTGCAATTAAATATTAGCAGAAGCACCATTAAGAGGGAGTTCCTTGAGAGCATTCATGGAAAGTTTGCTTTACAGATGCTCTTACTATGAAACACACCCTACATAAAAACAAAGTAAGAG